CATAAGATTATTTATTTTCAGCTGTTACAATCGTCCCTTTACTTATTGTTACAATTGTCCCCAAGACGCCATTTCAGCTTCATTTGTTAAAAACAATGCTAGTTAATTAGCAAAACTAATCATTTTTTTATTGAAATGTTAATTAAGGTGTCCACTTACATATTCGGCTACTAATTTCTATTTGTTTAAACAAAATTACTTTGTTACAATATAATATTCTAATACCAAAAAAAATACTTGCGTGGCGTGAAAATATTTTTTGTGATGTAACTCTTTCAAAAGTACATAAAAATGGTTGCCATCAGGGGTGTACATGTAGATTTGTTAAATACACCTTGTGAGCCACCTAAGAACCAAATCTAGAACCCGACACTCGAAATTTTTGTTCTGTTACAATCGTACCCTGTTACAATTGACCCCACTCTCCCCTACTATTTTAAAGACTAATTTAACATTTAAAGAGTGGTTATATTCTTGGTGAGAAAAATTGTGACTTGGGGATCAAGATTCGCAAATAGCTCACACAGTTCATATTTTAACGATGTAGCAAGTTTTATTGGTACAAATTATTTCAACCGATTCCTTAAAAATTTTGAATTTTATCCTTTTTTGTTACCATTGCATAACCTATTGTGTCTCATATATGAAATTATGAATATCATTATGAATCAATTGTAATGAGTTGCGAATTTATGAATAACTTAAAAATGCCATTCAATGAAAATTGTTTGTAAATTAAATATAAACATAATAAATAATTATAGAAAAGTATTTCTTTCGTAAATCTCTTCTTTCGTAGATATCTTAGAACATATAAATTTTCCAATTGTGAGCAAACACGTTTTTATTCAACTAATGATTTCAAAGAGAGAGTACGAAATATACAAATCCAATGATTGTAAGAATTCTAATCTACTGATAAAGAGGCGATGTTTATTTCTAATTTTGTGTTTTATTTCGGTCTATTTAATAACCTATCATTTCGTGAGCACAAATTATTTAGAATCCCTATTTCATTAATATTCCAGCTGATTAATCGAACAAAAGTTATTCAAGTATTTTTTTCTTTCATCTTGTGCACGTGCGAGTTGAATTAATTGAATTGAACTGTGCAAGTTTACTGTATAAAATTGCAATATAAAGTAATGTCGAATTGGGTGCATCAAATCCATTTTACCTTAAAATCCATTTATATCTTAAAATCCATTTTTGCAGTAAAATATTAAACCGTCATTTAGGGTATTTACAAAAAGTGGGCAAAAAGTTCCGGCATCCTTAGTGCTTTTTACTGAAATTCAGTCCGAAAGTTTTTACAGTAAATCCTTACATTCTTACATTTGATTATCCCTAATAGTATGGTACAATTTGAGTTTAACGTAATTTAATTTAATACCTTAATAAGCCCTCAGGAAGTGTGCATAACATTATGGCTCAAATAAGCGATATAATTTTGAGACAAGAATCATATTTTTTTCTGAAATGCAACTTTTCAGCAAGAATAGAAAAGAGCTACAACTGGTTAACATAACACACTGTCTCGCAAGAATAAAAGGAATATACACAAACCTTTGATTTTATTGCTTCCAGCCGAGCTTTGTAACAAAATTCAAGTAATGCAACTATCATCGCCAGAACCAATCCACCTATTAGGATATAAAAACATCCAGCTACATTGCTAAGAGTAAGTTCATTTTGAGATGATTCCTAAAATAATTAAAATATATATTTTTTTATACTCATTTTTACGAAAACATTTATTTTAATAAATATTTCATTTAATTATTAAGTGTGGATGCAAATAGGAAACAGTTTTGCGATACACTTTCATATAGTATTCGTATCAATTAAAGGAAAAAGTAGTGAAGTAAACAAAAGTTAGAAATATTGTTGAGTAAATCTTAGAAAATTATAAAATAAAGAAAATTATTGAAAAAACTATTTGGGAAATTTCGACACTTTAGATACGTTATTTAACGATTCACATGATTTATAAGATATTATACATCGTTGATTCATGATAATTTTATATAATATATAGTACATGAAATTAATATATATNTAGCCTTATATAAGAGATTATATATAGTTCAAAAGGCAGAGAAAACAAGGGAAAAATTAATGAAATAAGGGAAAAAAAAGAAAAATAATAATAAAAAGAAAAATAGCAAAAAAAGGACAAAAATGTTAAAAAAATCCGAAAAATAAAAGATACAATCTTTCCATCAGCTCACACGATTATATCTCCAAAAAGGAGCAGCTTATGGGCAATAAATAAAATTTATTGTTTTTCTTAATTTTCTTAATTTTTTGTTTTAATTTATTATGCTATCTTTTAGTGATCATATTTAATGCAGCTTTAGTGCTTAATACTATCTACTATTAACTTTCTTTCGTTTTCCTTCTGTTTTCGTTTTGATTTCTTTTTTCTAATTTCCTGTCCTTAGGACGTTGCGTGTGTTTAGGAGGTTGCTCTGTGAGCCTATTTTTATGAATATAAACAGTTCTAACAATTTAGCTCCTAGTAAAAAATATGTTCAATATTTAAATTCTTGTTCATGTTGTGCCTAATTGAGAGGGGACCTTTCGGATCGACTGAAAGCACAAGATCTTTTGAATTGCCCGATACTTTACCGTCTTATAAAGCTTGGGGTGATAAAAGATGTAAAACTTGCCTTAATATAGACATACATTTCTTAATAATGATAGATCCAAATCTTTTAGTAAAATGTTATTTATATGTTAACCTGTGGTTTCTGTAATATGATGCATATTGGACAAACCAGTAACTCACTTAACATTCGAATTAATCAGCACCGTTCTGGTATAAACAGTAATAAAATTATCAATAACCTAGACTTGAAGCATTTCAGAGTACATAAATTTAACAATGTCAAAATTAATATTTTAGGTATAGTAGAAGATTTAGATTGAAGACTACGAAAAGAAAATTACTACATGCTTTTATACAAAACAATTTTGCCGTATGGGCTGAACGATACCTTCCAACATACACAGATTAACTTTAATAACTCCTCAACTTATTCACTTTTTCATATTAAAGATAAGCGTACAAATCGAGGTAAACGGAGATCAAGAAGTTATAGAAACTCTCTTAATAATGACAAATTAAATAAAAATTTTCTTTCTAATATGGAAAAGATTTTAATAAACATTATAATATTAAACCAATTAAAGATTTTTGTTTCTCCCTTAAGAATTATGATGTATATAAGCTTCACGATCTTATTATTAAATTTTCTTTTATTAATTTACGTTTCAAAATTCTTTGTTTCGATCTTATAAAAGCTAAAATGAGTAAAATTTTGCCAAATGAAAAGAAAAATTTGGATGATGTATATTTCGTTATTAACTTTCAAAATCCCATTTTCGATAAGATCAAATTTCATAATATTTTTGAAAATTTTAAAACTTTTTTCCCATCAAAAGATTTTAACATAATTAAAAGCTTTAAATATAATAAATCTCTTGGTAGAACTATATTTAACTATAATGATATGAGCAAAAATTTAGGGAGGATAAATATATCCGATTATGAATGTCACTGTGAGGAAAGGGAAATATTTTGATTTTGCTGATAAACATCATAAACATATTACTACTGGTAATTTAAATATTACAGAGACAGAGGAATTTAATGATAAAAGGCACAGAATTTTGAACCATTTACCATATATCGATCAATAAAATTCATAAATACTTTCTTAATGATCTCAAAAGTTTTTGTTTAAAGATATCAAATAGATTCTATTTACCTTTAGGTATGCTAACAGAATGGAAATGAGGAGTTTATTATTACTTTAAAAAACTTTGTTTACAATAAAAAGGATAATTTAAATAACAGTAACAATTCATCAAAGTTTTCTAAAATTGTTCAATCGATTAAACAACTTCAAAAAAATTTTGTAATTACCCCCATAGACAAAGCTGACAATAATTATGCTATCTTCTGTAAAAAAATTCTATGTTGAACTTTTAAATACGGAATTAAGAAATAGTAAACATCTTAAACTTAGTAATTTAAATAATAATATTGTCATTAAAAAAATTTTAGCCTTATATAAGAGATTGAAAATTAAAATTAGCAATATACAATTTCCTTGATTAATTATCAGTCCTAAATTTCATAAAATTCCTGTAAAATTTAGAACCATCACATGTGGATCTAATACTAATCTAACTAAACCTGGCACCATTTCCTCTAACTACTTAAATAAAATTATTAACAACATTTTTAAAAACGGTTTCTCTTGGATTATCAGTAATAATCAACCGATTTCAGAGTTCATTAAACATAATAAAATTAATTCTAATGCGACTTTTGATTCCCAGGATCTTTTCAATAGCATTCCCTTTTCTAAACTAAAAGATGTCCTCTTGAATTATTACTATGATTTTAAAAATATCCTTTGTTGCGATTTTGATTATTGGGAAATTCTTACTAATTTTTGTCTTATCTTTATCTTTACAATTTGAATTATCTTTATCTTTGAATTATCTTTACAATGGAAGGCACATGCGAAGAGGAACATCAATTCTTCGCTATATTGACCTGCAGGAAAATTGTGACTCAAATTATTAAACAAACCCTCGAGGACATTCTAGCCCCAGATCAACTGGCCCCAGTCATGAACCAACAATAGAGAATGTCATCGTTAATTTTTACTAATCAACTTTTAGCCTTACATTTTGAATTTTTATCTACTTTTGATTTTAGACTTCATAGACTTCTAGTCAGACTTTTACTTTTAGACATTTACTATTTGGACTTTTAGCTTTCATTGATTTTAGTTTTGAGATTTTTTATCTCTTGTTTCCTTATTATTATAATCATTTAATTCTCGACATTTACAACGGCGCTTTTGGGTTTCATTGCCTTTAACACATGTTTTTAATTGTCAAACTTTATTGTTAATCCACTTTTAACTGATCACCACCACTGTCATTTGGCGAAATTTTACTGTAACTTTAGTTTTTAGAGAAATTTCATTGTAATAATTTTACTTTTATCTCCGTATACCCCCCTGGGGTGGGTCGGAGTTCAACCTTACTTACAATGGAAGGCATAGTTTTCTTCAAATTAATGGAATACTACAAGGATCTAATTATTCATTTGTCTTAGCTAACTTATTTCTGCATTATTATGAAAAAAATTATACTCTTAGAATAAAATTTGTTTTTAGATTTATTGATAATTTAATTATCTTTAATTTTCAACATTATACTTTTTAATTAAATAATATTTACCCCGAGGAATATATATATATATATATATATATACAGTGGTGGCCAAAAGTGTGGACACTTTTTGAAAGTTTCATGTTTTTCATTTTTGTGTGCTTGTAGAATATATTAATTTTCACTTAAATACAAACGTTTGTATGTCAAATTGAAGGTAATTTCATGTAAAATTTAATAATAAATACAGTATTATAATATCTGTATTACAAAAAAAGTTATGCAAATAATAGTAAGATCTACAGTGGCGCTCACGTAGTTAAGGACTGTGTTTTCAAATTAAATGCGTCATTATATTGGACGAATATTATGTTTTGATCAAGATATCTATAATGGCGAATTCTACCTTAGTTGAACTTCAATCCTCAAATAATTCATTCATAATTCAGTCGTCCTCAAATAATTCATTCAAAAGTGTTTCATAAAAGTTTATTTAAAAAATATAGTATTTTGTTAAGTTTCTTATACTTAAGGACAGTTTGTCTAATCATGAGTTATTGAATGATTACAATCAATTTATCGATCAACGAAAGCGTAATTTACTACATTATCTTTGTTTGATGCTTTAAAACATTATATTAAACATTTTTTAATATATTTTAGTACAAATTTCAACATTATTATGAGTAAAGGTAAAAATGTTAGCAATGAACAGAGATGTCGAATAGATACTCTGAGAAAAGAAGGTTTAAGCATTCGAGGAATTGGTAGGCGGTTAAAATTATCAAAAACAGCAAATTTCCAAGCATTGAAATCTATTCAAGCGACCAAAAGTATTGAAAAAGCATCCCGAAATCCACGTCCTTGCAAAACTACCGAACGAGAAGATCGAATTATTCATCGAATTTCTGAAGCTGATCGTCACAAAACCGCCCCGGACATCAGAAAAGAATTCGCTGAATTAACAGGCAAGCACGTAAGCAATAATACCATCAAACGGCGTTTAAATGAGCTTCGGCTTATGGGTCGCGTATGTAGAAAAAAACCGTTGACGTCAAAGAAGAATATAGCAGTTCGATTAGCTTTTACAAAAAGACACCGAAACTGGACATCGGCTGACTGGAATCGAGTTATATTTACAGACGAATCGAAGTTCAACAGAATGGGCTCAGATGGCAAAAGTTATGTGAGGCGTCAAGTCGGTGAAGAATTTAATGTACGGTGTACAAAATCAACTGTAAAAGGTGGA